GCGATGGAGCGATTTCTGCAGGGGGTGTTGCACAGTTACCAGTGGCTGGTCCCAGTGGGAGACCCTGGAGCCCCGCTGAGCCATTACCTGTGAGGCCCACTGGATCTGCGTGTGCCAGGCACCAAGCAGGGCGTCGTACAGGCCGGTGAGCTGCCGGTCCAGTGGAAGGTCGCTCTGACACAGTTCCTGCCAGGTTGCGAGAAGGGGTGCCTACAGAGGAAAGAGCCTACCTGCTGACACTGCCCTGCGCCCACCAAGGCACCAGGGCCCCCCCTAAGCCCAGCACCCACAGTGCTCCGCTCCCTGAAGACAAAAGAGAGAACAAACAACCAGGGCACTTACAGGACCTGTTTTCCCTCACCCACAGCTGGACCGTCCCCTCCATCTGACCCTGTGTCCTTTGCACCCGGCACACTGGCCTCACCTAATTGACCTCAGCGCAGGGCGGGGCGTGTCCTGAACCTTCATGGCTTTCTCTCGTGTCCTCACCCCCCAGCTTAGAAGACACCTGAGCACTGGGCTGGCTGGCATTCAGGCTAGCCCAGGAAGCTGCCAGGGTTTTTTTGGACACCTAACTTGGACACTGTTAGAGAGCGTAACATTCTTTCAAGTGGCTGAGGGCACAATAAGGCTTAAGGCACAAGTCTCTCTTGAGAGACAACGAGGAAAGGTTGAAGCAACTCTTAAATGCTGTACATGAATCCAGCTGTAAATGTAAAAAGATGAAAACCAGTAACTTTTTCCAGCTGGCGTTTAAATACCACCGCAGGCTGGGCCAAGAGCACCCCCTGCTGGCCAAGTGGAAGAACACAGCCAGGGGACAGGAGGCCACCTTCCCCTCCCTGAGGCCACAGCCAGGGCCTCTTTCCCACCTTGTGGCACTTGTAGTAGTAGGCCAGGAGCTGAGGCATCCGGTCAATTTCACTGAAGATCTTCACGAATGCTTTGGACTGATCTAAAGGACACAATGTGGGGATAGTGTTAGCAGGCTTTCTGACAAAGCCAAGAGAAAGAATTCACGAGAACAAGTGCGAGTTAAGAGCATCTAGGACTCCCACATTCCCACCCAGACGGTGAACTAACTCAGGCCTGGGGGATCACAAGTATGAGGAACAATCGAAGGACCAGACACGTGACTCTCGATCAGACCCTGCGTGCCAGGGCTTGTTATGTAATGTCTCCACCGCTCATGGCTAGGATGCCACACTGGCAAAGGGATGGGCACACATGCATGGTAACAGGAATTACACTGGAGTTGAGGACGGAGCCTAGAAGGTATATTTTTGTTTGAGTTTTTCTTTTTCTTTCTTTTTTTTTTTGGTCAGTCATGGGGCCTGAACTCTGGGCCTGGGCACTGTCCCTCAGCTCTTCAGCTCAAGGCTAGCACTCTACCACTTGAGCCACAGCACCACTTCTGGCTTTTTCTGCTTATGCGGTGCTGAGGAATCAAACCCAGGGCCTCATGCATGCAAGGCAAGCACTCTACCATTGAGCCACCTTTCCAGCCCGTTTTGAGTTTCTCAACTATATACTTTTTCTTTTTCAGTACTGGGGATTGAACCCAAGATGTTGCACTTGCTAGGCAAGCGCTTTCCACTGAGCTACATCCCAGCCCCTGGGATGTAAATTTTAAGGAGGCTTTTCCCTTCAGGGATGTGTCAGGCACCATCAGGCCTGGCCTTGGTCCTCAGCAGGAGCCTGAGCCAAGAGGACTGAGAGTTCCGGGTTAGCCTGGTATACATAGACCCTCTCAAAACAAAACAAAAATGGCACGTATAGCTCACACCTATAGTCCTAGCTACTTAGAACCCAAGTTAAGGAGGCCTGTGGCTGAGGCCAGCCAATACATACCTATGAGGCCCTTCTCAGCCCAACAGCTGAGCTTTGTGGCACATGCCTACAATTCCAGCCACAAGGGAGACTGAGATTAGAAGAACTGTGGTTCCAGGCCAGCCTGGGTAGGTAGCCAAGTCGCTAAAACTCCATTTCAATAGAAGAAATTCAGCATGGTGGTCTATGTCTGGGACAGGAAAAATAAAAATGGGAGGTTCATGGCCCAGGCACATTCCTGGGAAGAAAGCAAGACCTTATCTAAAGAATAATCAGGAGGCTGAGATCTGAGGACTGCAGTTCAAAGTCAGGCCAGGCAGGAAAGTCTATGAGACTCTTATCTCCAATTAAACACCACAAAGCTCACAAGTGGAGCTGTGGTTCCAGCAGCAGAGCGCTAGCCTCAGGCACAAAAGCTGAGGGACAGTGCCCAGGCCCTGAGTTCAAGGCCCAGAACTAGCACCACCACCACCAAAAAAAAGACTGACAAAGACAGAAGAGACAGGATGAGGGGGTGGATTAGAAGCATCCGCCATTTTCACTCCATGAATATGAAGAATCTTCTGTCAGAGAAGAGACACGATTCTGAAAGAAGAAAGGAAGACAACCAGAAACCATGAAGAAGGTGATGGGGAGGCAGAGAACCAAAAGAAACGATCCCAGCAGGAGAAAAAGCAACAGGGAGCTCCGAGCCCCACTCTGCTTCCCCTGAGGAGAAACAAGAATGGAACATGAGGTAAAACAGATGGCCCTGCGGTGGGCCCACCAACGCTACCCATGGAAAGCCCACTCACTCCACCAGCCTTAGCTGCAATACAGGAGTCAGGGCAGCACCTAGTGCAATGTGGGAGGCCAGGGTTGGCAGGGAAAGGCATCCTGTGGGCCCCTGATCACAGGGAGCACCCGTGAGTCACTATACTGAGAGGCTGCTGCCAGACTCCGGTACTCTAGGGTCTGGGGAGGGAGCTGGTTGAAGAGAAGAGAGAAGACCCCCATAGGGCACCACTGTGGGAAGCTACACTGTCAGTTTAGACACCAGAGGCCTAGCAAGCCTGGCTGCTACTCACACAACAGTGGCACAGTCCCACACCTGTTGTTTTTTACCTATGGAGGACCACAAGGGCAACTCCTAACACCCACAGAAGCCGCCATTAGAGACAGCTGCTCAGATACCTGGCAGGGAAGGACCCTTTTCAGGTTACACAGAGATGCCATTAAAGGTAAATGGAACTCTGAAGATCTGAAGATGGCTCCACCCTCCCCATGGTCACACCCTTTCAAGGCTCCACCCTGTCCTGGCTCCACCCTCTCATGGCTCCACCCTCCGAGCTAGATTAACTAGATTTTTTTTGGGGGGGGGGGCCGGGCAAGGGGCCTGAACTCTGGGCCTGGGCACTGTCCCTCAACTCTTCAGCTCAAGGCTAGCGCTCTACCACTTGAGCCACAGCACCACTTCCAGGTTTTTTTTTTTCTTTTTGCTTATGTGGTGCTGAGGAATCGAACCCAGGGCCTCATGCATGCAAGGCATGCGCTCTACCACTGAGCCACCTTCCCAGCCCTAACTAGATTTCTTTTGTGCTCACCTCACCCCACTTTCTCATTAACCTCTCCTATTAAGCTTCTTCCCACCTCTTCCTTCCTTCTATAACCAAATACCTAGTATTCATTAATGAGTACTATAACCTTCCTGTTATCTCTCCTGCAAAGGTCTTCAAGTCATGAAGACACATTCTTCCCCCTATATTTCATCTATAATCACTGAAGACTGTCACAAACACAAGGTTGTGGTTTATCAAATGCAACAGGTTTGTGTGTGTGTGTGTGTGTGTGCGTGCACATGTGCGTGCGTTCACACGTGCGTGCGTGCGTGAGTACGTCCGTGCGCACCAGTCTTGGGGCTTGAATTCAGGGCTTGGGCACTGTCCCCAGGCTTTTCTGCTCAAAGCTAGTGCTCTACCACTTGAGCCACAGCTCTACTACTGGCTTTTTTTCTTTTGATAGTTAATTGGAGATAAGAGTCTAAAAGACTTTCCTGCCCAGGCTGGCTTTGAACCCTAAGCCTCCTGAGTAGATAGGATTACAGGCATGAGTCACCAGTGCCCAGCTGTACAACAGGTTTTATAACCAAACCTCCTTACCCTGAGTGAAAAAGAGCTCCCATAGTGTCTTAGACATTAAAAATGAATATTTGACAACTGAGAATCACCCCTCCAATCTAACAACAGGAAAATATACTGCAACCCAGCCATTACCCAGTCTTATGTAATATCAGACAAACTACCAACTAAAATGACATGGAAGACTGAAATCTCCATCACAACTTGGCCCCAGATGCATAAATCCTGGAAAAAGATCACTAACCTCATGAATAAACAAAAACCAAACCACTCCACTTAAGTGACAGTGAAAAGGAAGAAAGTTCAACAAATCCAAAGCAACAATGACAAGGATGATCAATGAAATAAAAGAGCTGGGGGCTGGGAAGGTGGCTCAGTGGTAGAGTGCTTGCCTTGCATGCCTGAGGCCCTGGGTTCGATTCCTCAGCACCACATAACCAGAAAAAAAAAGCCGGAAGTGGCGCTGTGGCTCAAGTGGTAGAGTGCTGCCTTGAGCTGAAGAGCTGAGGGACAGTGCCTAGGCCCAGAGTTCAGGCCCCATGACTGACAAAAATAAATAAATAAATAAATAAAAGAGCTGATGCATAAACAGCAGAACAAATTCAAAGCGGACACAAACAACCAGAAAGTCAAACAAACTAACAGCTAAATTAATTAAATAAGATAATGCAGGATATAAAAAAGAACATATAGAAATCTTGAAAAATAAAAC